GATGTGGATTAAATTTACAGGTGTGTTATGAAAAATAGGAGACAGTGGCTAAGGGGACAGCTGATACCTTCTAAGAGTATATTTGATGTAGGTCATTATTATTAGCACTTTCTCAAGGTCTTTAGAAATGCCTGGTAATTATTTTTTAAATTAAATGGTTTCTACTTAATGTGAAGCCCTTGGTGGTGTAGTGGTTATGCATTGGGCTGTGAACAGCATGGTTGACAGTTCAAAACTACCAGCAGCTCCTTGGGAGAAAGACTGAGCTTCCTACTCCTGTAAACAATTAGAGTTTTAGAAACTCGCAGGGTGTCACAATGAGTCAGTCTTCACTGGGTGACAGTGGGTTTTGGGTTTTGGTCTATTTAGTGAGCGTGTTTGCAGTTCCAGACCCCAAGCGATGGGCTTTCATGACTTATCAGTTTAACTCCTCACTACAAATGCTGCTGTCCAGAGACTGACAGCGTCAGCATCACCCAGAAGCTTGTGAAAATTGTCACCTTAGTTCAAGCGTCACCCTAGAGGTAATCAATCAGAATAAGCATTCTTAATAAGAGTCTCAGGTGATTTGCAGATGTGTGTACGTTTGAGAAAGGGTTGCTTTAATCCTCACATCTACATTCCAGATTAGGTAAGTGAAGGTCAAAGGTGAACTCCTTAGTTCTAGAATTTGCACTCTGATCTGAGTAGTTCTCAGGGCACCCCATGTGCTCCTAGTGGGACTAACTGTCCAGGAGTTGTTAATCATTCAGTAGCAATTAATAACAAGAAAGCTAGGTTCTAAAGCTACTCTACCACTCAGCACCCTTCACCCAATGTGGACCCCTGGTGTCTCATGGGAGTTTGGAGGAACCCTGTTAACCGGCGGAGTCCAAACTGGACTCAAGTTCATGGGTCAGTCACAGGTTATATGATGACTCCCACCTTCAGTCTCTTTGTCCTGCTTTTTCCAGTGTTCCTCCCTGTTCCCCAATGTTTGACCTTAACTTGAAGCCAGGACTTTTCTAACTCTTCCTCCTCAGGGTCCAGTTAACTTTTTCTTCATCCAAGACAAAACTTCCTCCCTAGCACTTTCTCGCTTCCCTTTCCTCCCCTCTTTTCAAGCCAACTGCCTCCCTCAATTCAATCCCAGAAAGGAATATTGCCCTATGGCTTCTGACAGCTTAGTTCAATAGCGCGAGCATGCCCTCTAACCCATGGGGCTCCCCAAGGAGCTCTGGCGGAGCTACCGGGTAAGCAACGGACTGCTCACCACAGGGGTCCTAAACCACCGCCCATTCTGCGGAAGGAAGATGAAGTTGTTTGTTCCTGCAAAGATTTGCACGTTCAGAAATGCTTTCAGTGGGTCTCTCACCACCAGGGATTCACAGGGAGCGCTTTAATGTTGTTCACGGCGTCTTCTAAGGCTTGCCCTATAACTCTTGAAAAAAATGCCTTCCTGTCCACTCAACCAAAAGAAGATATTCATGCGAACTCCTACCCTGCACTGCCTACTTCCCCAAAGACTCAAGATATGCCTGGTCCTGACAAACCACAGCTGGGGAGCCCGGGATGAAGCTGGGGGAATCATTGAAGCGGCCGGCTATTTGGTTTGTGTGTAAGACGCTTTTGAGGTTTCCTTCCTGTCTGGTGTTGATGGGAATCTGCTTTAGGAACCATAAAGCCAATTGACTCTTCCACCTTATCTCCTGGTCGGAGCTTTCCCAGGAATCCTCTCATCTGCCTTTTTGGTGACAAAGACCGCTCTGGCAAGGCCAAAGTAATTAGATCATCATTACTAGCAACACACTGTAGGGGGATGTAAGTTGAATCAGAGGTTCCTTGGGGACAGCCACTGGGTTTCTGTGTGCTTATTCCCCCGGTTCTTTTTTATTAAATTACTATTTCTAAAGAACAGTCACAATTTTAAACACGAGTAAAAAGTCTTGTTCCTAAGAAACATTTGTTTTCAAAGATGCATGTCCTCGAGTTACTTAAATTCCGCTGAATTTGGCGAGCAGAACAACAGACCCAAGTGTTACATGTTCTGAGCTGGTCCCCCAAGAAAAGATGACAGAGTGTCTTGAGTCAGAAGCAACCACAGGACACTGTTAGGGAAGAATTGGGTGGCTGTGTTTGACCAGAAAGAAACCTTCGTGGCAAGGACTCCTCCCCTCAAACTCATTTACTAGTTTCTGTCACCGAGGCCCAGAGGGTTTCAGGGTATTGCCCATTAGAAGGCGCTTAGCTCCTTGAAGTGCCCGGAGAAAGCCATGGGGACCTACTTCTGCAACATAAGCCACCAAAAACCCCGTGGAGCCCAGATCTGCTCCGACACACATGGGATTGCCATGTGTCAGACTCAATTGACAGTAACTGGCTGGCTGTTATTTAGAGCTGTCTCAGTTTCTCCATATCTATCTCCTAGCACATTACCACGGATCTTAATTTGACTCGGGGATTTCCAGCAAAGCTGACAATTTGTCAGATCCCTGCCTACACAATTTTCTGCAGTCCTCACTGATTGAGGCCGTTTGGTTTGGCCAGTTACCCAAATCTGATGGCCATGTGGAGTAGATTTCAAAGGCGAATCCTGGCAGCGCTGCGTTCTCTCTCCATGTCAGCTTCCCGATCTAGTAAGGCGTTCAGGGTTCCAGATGTGCTTTGTAGCCACACACCAGAGGTGGGGGGTCCTCCGATCTGAGTAGGGTGGAGGCACGGACCAGAAGCCTAGAGACGCCATTATCCACTTTGGATGTTCCTCCACCCTGGAAGGCCCTTTCCTGCTTCTTGGCCAATTAAATATCCTGCTAATTTTCCCAAAGGGCCGTGCCAGATGGCATTATCACCAGCAGCTCCCCTCGCTCCCTTTGGAGCCCTGAAGTAAAGTCCCCTTTTCTTGGGTTTCCAAAACACACCCACAGCGTTCCATGTCCCTGGAACGCCAATTGTTTGTACTTCCACGTTAGTTTTAAACGCTTCCAAGTTGTGACCATGTCATCTTCCTGTCACTAGAGGGCTTGCTAAGATTTCTGTGTTGCAGCTGTAGAGTCAATCTGGGGGCTTTGGATTTTGAACTCAGGAAAGAAGAGTGTATATCATTTAAGGCTGCTGTTGCCATATGCCAGGGGTTCTCAACCTTCCTACTGCCGCGACCCTTTCATACAGTTCCTTATGGGGTGGTGACCCCCCCAACCATAAACTTATTGTCGTTGGTACTTCATCACTGTCATTTTGCTACTGTGATGAATCGGACGACCCCTGTGAAAGGGTCGTTTGACACCCCCAAGGGGTCGCGACCCACAGGTTGAGAACCGCTGCCCTATGCAGCGCAAAAGAGGATGCGTTTTGCCTCTCCTCTCTCAAGAGTTAGGAATGACCCCACGGGTGTCCTGCAACATCAGCACCAGCGAATATTCAGCTCTTTAGATGTCTTTTCTCAGGAAGCATTTTTCTTCAAGTATCTCACGCTGAGAGACAAAGTCTGGAGGATGCTGCAGATCAAACAAAGAGAAGCGTGGAGGGCTCTGTGATGAGGACATGTTACCCTCGACCGCAGTCCCTCTGAGGGCTAGCACGACATCTTCCTGTCCCCAGCACCTGACACCGAGTCAGCTTGCTGCTGGCCATACAGATAATGGAGGAGGCGGAGCTGACCCTTAGTGGCACCCTCCCCTATGTGATTGACAGAATACAGGCAAAAGATGGACATGACTGAGCTTAGATGTGTCTTTGGAAACCACACCTTGAAATCTGGGAGAAATCATTTGAAAGCATTCCTAGTGTCAGCATGTCGAAGAAATCCTGGAAATAGTTCTAATGGAGGTAGGTTGGTTGTCCCCAAACATCGGTGGCTTAACACACTACGGCAGCAGTTTTCAACCTGTGGGTTGCAACCCCTTTGGGGCCCAATGACCCTATCACATGGGTCGCCTAACACATCCTGCATATCAGATATTTACATTATGATTCGTAACAGTAGCAAACTTACAGTTATGAAGGAGCAACGAAAATAATTTTATGGTTGGGGATCACCACCGCGTGAGGAACTGTATGAAAGGGTCGCGGCATTAGGAAGGTTGAGAACCATTGCACGAAGGGTTTCTTTCCACAGTCTGTCATGGGTGAATGCAGGTCCTTGGTTCGTGTGTGTCAGGAGGTGATGCTTTGAGGCATGTAGCCATTGAAGGACGCAGGCTCCTTCTGTCAGTGGCTCATCATGCTCTAAGGCTTCAAGACTGTTGTCTAAATCTTCTACATCTGCCTGGTCGACTAGCGAAGAAAGTCAGTGAAGTATAGTCAATGCACTGGAAATGGTATATAGCACTTCAAAAGACCAGATCCCAGTCACATGGTCTCACCTAAGTGCCAGGGAGACTGGGGCATGTGTCCCTGGAAGGAAGAGAGAATGATTTGTCATGTAATCAGTTTGATGCATGATACCCGTTGCCAGATCTATTATTATTTAATATTTTCCTTTTAAACCTTGAAGACAGTTATTAACTAAATGTAATTTGAAGTCATTTAAAGGGAGGTGATAAACAGGGTTGCCATTTCCACTAAAATCCATCCTGCTGGCTCCTCATTCTTGTCCTCTGGCTGTGATGTGTATTGGCTCTTGGCACCAGGAATACCATGGAGGGTCATCCCTTACGGTGTTCATCTTTCCACTCAGACAGCACCTGAACTATGAAGCCACCTCCTTTTATGGACCTGCCTGTTGGTGGGTCTAGCTCCTGTCACATCACATTTGTATACAGTGACCGGCTAGTAAAGTCACACAGAGTTAATATGGGATGAAACTTTGCCTCTTCCCTCCTACCCCTTCTACCCTCCACTCATGCCATTGGCTGAGTTTTACACACACTGGGAGTCAGAGGACCCACAACTCATACATCCATTCCAATGATAGTCCAATTTCCAGTTCAGAACTGGGGAAGATCTAAAGACCGAAGAACTATCATATGTAATGCCAAAGTATGGACGCATGTATGATTCGACCATTTGTGTGTTTGGATTAGATGGATGCGACCAACAGATTTCACCTGTTCGTCTGGGAGACGGAGAGGCAGCAGGACGTGGAGCATGTGGCCCGGTGCATTCTCTGCCACGGTAAGCTTGAGTAGTGTTTCTGACCAAACCAGCACCTTGAGGACACGGTGAATCAATTCATAGTCACAGGCCAAGTCTGCCGTTAGATGCCGTATTTGCTTGGCATGCGCACTTTTAACATCTGGGAATTCCATTTGAAATTTAGGTTTTCCAGTTTCTCTTAGAAATTCAGAATTGGCTTGAGAACCCCAGAAACTGCATGCCCATGTGATGACCTCAGCCACAGCCTTTGGGTGGGGGATGTGTCTGTTAGTGCCCTACAGCTCCCACCCCTTCTTATCATCTTAGTTCTCAACGGCTCTACTCATCACCTGTCCAGCCAAGCTTTCGTAGATGCCAGTGCTTGTGGCTGCTGCTTCTGAACACCTTTGTGTGCAGGGCAGAGCATTCAGCTAAGAGGCAGGAGTCCTGGGCTCTGGGCCTGGAATTATCATTGACTGGCAGAGGAATATTGCCAAGACACCCATGTGCCTTGGTGCCCTGGTTCCTAGCTGCTATCGTTTTATTCCATAGCTCACCCTATCCTCTGCCCTAGAGAGCTTCCCAAAGAAATCCCCAGGGCCTGAGTAAGCCAGAAGGTGAAGTCGAAAGGGGTTTTAATTCTCCCTCTACCTGATTCAAGGAGGCCTGGTAGAACTCTGGATTAGGCACTGAGCCCTTAACCATAAAGTCAGTGGTTCAAACCTATCAGCTGCATCTTGAGAGCAAGATGAGGCTGTCTGTCCCTAAAGATTTGCAACCCAGAAACCCTCTGCAGGGTCCCTATGAGTCAGAATCGACTCAGTGACAGTGGCTTGGTTTTGGGATTCTACTTGAGGCGCACTGAGGCTTACCGCTGCCATGCATTGGATCTGTGAATGTGGCCAAATGCAGTATACAACTCAAAAAACTCACTCACTGCATGGAGTCGATTCCAACTCCTACATTGCTGCTAGGTGCCATCGAGTCGATTACAACAGAATGAAACACGGCTTTGTCCAGTGCCAATCTCACCATTGTCCCTACGCTTGAGCCCCTTGCTGCAGCCACAGTTCAGGGCCTTCCGTTCATTGCAGTGAGAGCCTTCCTCTTTTCCCCTGCCCCTCTACTTAATCTAGCATGATGCCTTTCTCCGGGGACTGGTCTCTCCTGACAACATGTCCAAAGTAAGTGAGATGGAGTCTCTCTACCCATGCCTCTAAGGAGCAGTACGCTGGCCATACTTCTTCCAAGACAGCTTTGTCCTTTGAGCAGTCCACAGCACTTTCCACATTCTTCTCCAGCACCACAATTCAAATGCATGGATTATTTTTTGGTCTTCCTTATTCCATGTCCTCCTTGCACAATTGAAAATACCACGGCTCGGGTCAGGCGCACCTTAGTCCTCAAAGTAACCCATTTCCTTTTCAATACACTGCAGAGGTCTTATGCAGCAGATTGATCTAATGCCACGTATCTTTTGATCTCTTGACTGCTGCTTCCATGAACATTGATTGTGGGTCCACGTAAGACAAAAATCCTTGACAGCTTCAGCCTTTTCTTCATTGATCATGAGGTTATTTATTGGTCCACTTGTTAGGGTTTTGGTCTTTTTGATATGGAGCCGTAATCCATACAGGAGGCTGCCATCCTGGATCTTCATCAGCAAGTGCTTCACGTCCTCCTCCCTTTCAGCAAGCAAGGCTGGGTCATCTGCATTTCTCAGGTTGTTAATAAGCCTTCCTCCAATCCTGATGCTGCCCTCCTCCTCATATAGTAATTGCTATTTGTGTAATTCACAGCTTTCTCACCCAACATCTCCTTTGACACGTCATTTGTCCAAACATCAGCTTCTTCTCTTGTTGTTTACTGAGCTCTGACTACTAATGCACAGGCATTGGGTCAAACATGTAAATGTATTAACTTTTTTCATCGAAACCTCACAAACACCTCATAAGATAGATACAATCGCTATCAGCGTATCTCCACCCTAGAGATGAGGAAACTGACACGCTGGGAAGTCTAAGTAATTTGCCCAAGGTAGCCTAATGCAAACCATTTATGCTACCCAGAAACCTCTGTAACACAAGGTAGATTTTGAATCAGGGAGTCAGCTGCAATATGTGACATGTTGTTAGGACAGACCAGTCCCTGGAAAAGGACATCATATTTGGTAGAGGGGCAGCAGGGGTGGGGGGTGGGGGGTGGGGGGGAGAAGACCCTTGACAAATGGATTGACACAGTGGCTGCCACAATGTGTCCAAACTTAAGAACCATGATGGGGATGATGCAGGACCAGGCAGTGTTTCATGTTGCTGTGCATAGGGTTGGTATGCGTCGGGACCAACTGGACGGTACCAAACAACAACATGCATATATTTCTATACATACATCTATATAGTCCATCTTTGGCATCTGGGTTTAAATGTACAACCTCCGCAGAATCATGCTTTAAATGCATCATGAAACACAGCGAATTAAAAAGGAAGAGAATGCTAGCTAATTCAAAGCGAAATCGGTGCAGCTTTGTCAGCATGCCAAATACACCTGACAGGGCACCGAAGGACCGTTCCCTTTTGGAAGGAGCGGTGCGTTGAAACACTACCAGGCTCTGTGCCGCAGCCGTAATGCGATGGAAATGCCACCGGTTCTTGGTGCGGGCCTCAGAAGCCCTGCAGAGGCTGTAGGGGTTTGTTACCTGTGGGGATGATGGAAGGAAGGGCTAAATTTCATCTCATCCTTCTTTGACCGATACAAATGGCAGCTTTGTGTGTCCCTAAGGTCACTTCCAAGTCCAGCAGGAGTGAGCACTCACTGTTGTTGATGTATCCACTTAATAAAGCATCCATCTACAACCCCCTTTCTGCTGAGTGGAAGCGCACTAGCAATTGAGGAGGTCTGGGGGGTCGAGTGGTGAAAAACATTTAAGTGACTGTGGAATTTGAAAGTCTCCATGGGCATGTATTGACGTTGGCCCTGGGTTTGGCGGCCCACAACAGGGCCAGGCCGCCTTCCATTGCAGCTGTCCCGAGAGGGGATGGATAGGAAAGAGGAGTGGGCTAACCCCAGCCTCTCTGTGCTTCCTCCCCAGACAAGTGCCGACCCCAGCCGGACTGTGAGCACGGCGCGCCGGGGCCTTTGGCGGTGGACGTGGACGTGGCGTTCTTGGTGGATGGCTCCCAGGGGACCAGCGCAGACGTCTACCGCGCCTCCTTGAACCTGGTGGCCGCCGTGCTGGACGACCTGGAAGTGGCCGCGCAGCCAGCTGTGTCCCGCCACGGGGCGCGCGCGTCGCTGGTGGTGCACACGACGCCTGGCTTCGGGCCTGGTGGGGGCCGCCCTCCCGTGACAGAGAGCTTCCACCTGATGTCCCATGGCCACCGGGCTCCCATGCAGCGGCTTGTCCAGGAGGCTGCGGGGCACCCCCCGCAGGGAGCACCCGCCCTCGGCCACGCCCTGGAATGGACGCTGGAGAAGGTGCTCCTGGCAGCCCCGCTGCCGCGGAAAGCCCAGGTTCTCTACGCCATCGTGGGCCGCGAGACCAGCAGCTGGGATCGGGCGAAGCTGAGGACCTGGTCCCTGGAAGCCAAGTGCAAGGGCATCGCTCTGTTTGTGTTGGCCTTAGGCCCGGGAGTGGGGCCCCTCGAGCTGGCTGAGCTGGACCGAGTGGCCAGCGCCCCCTCCGAGCAGCACCTGCTGCGCTTGGAGGGAGTCTCTGACCAAGAGGTGGCCTACGCCCGAAGGTTCACACGGGCCTTTTTCAGCCTTCTAACTAGTAAGTGGTCCCAGCAAACAAGGAGTGGCGCTGGGCTGGGTGGAGGAGAGCTTGGTATTTGGGCAGATGCCCAGGGCATCTCCACCCTAATTGAGCCGTGTGCCGCCCCGCAGCCTCAGCCGAACACCCACAGGTCCTGAAAAAGCTGCCCTGTCATTGTCCTGACTGTCAGGCCTCCAGCGGGTTGCTAGTTCTGAAACTCATCCCGTGGCCCCGGAGGCCGCTGCCTTCCACAGAACTTGTGGATTTTCTGATGTAGGGACATGAGAATTAGTCTCTCCTGCTTGCGACTTTTCCATTCGAATACAATTGTGGGGAGACCCTAACGCCCCGATGCTGTACAGATAGTAGATGTAGCGGTTTGTCCTGGGGAGGTGCACCCTCTTCCTGTTCTCTGGCTGCGTGCTAACTGCAAGATTGGGGGTTAGAGTCCGCTGATGGGTGTCTCTCAAGAAAGGCCTAGTTTCCCCACAGGACACATCAGCCACTGACCCCCCCCTGCAGAGCACAGTTCTATTCGGCACACCTGGGGGGCCACAAGGCAGAATTTGTAAGGTTTCTGGAGTGGTTAACACCTTGGTTCTTGGCTTCCATGGATGAAAGAATCCACGCTGAAGCCTGTTTTGTAATTCAAGTGGGTGTTTATGAAGGATGGGAGAAGTTTCAGGTTTTATAGTCTCAGAAGGGTACATCCAAATTCAGGAAAGCGTGCCAAGCCGCGTGGAAGCCTCGTGGAAGTTCACAACTGGGCATAAACAACCACGTGGCAAAGAGCACCCCCATGTGCAGGACAGGGGTCAGAGAGGCTGTGGCACAAGCTGGGACCAGAGAGCAAGAGGGACGAGGCCCCAAGGAGGCTTGGAGTGGGTGCATGTGCGCCTGTGCCGGGGAGGGAGACCTCATCCTCTGACCTGCCACTGACCAGGAGCAGGGTAAAAGAGCAAGAGCTGCCTTCCCACAGCCAAGATATTTCAAGCCTCTGGCTGGAGAGGAATGGTTGATAGTATTGGTTGACCCCATTGGCTGGGTTAAGCCCACCTGGTTAAGGTCATAAGCCTAGACCTACTTTGGACCACCCAGGTGTACCTCCCACCTGGCTCGGGCCTTGAATAGATGCATGTTCAGTTAGGGGTCTTCTTAGGGATCTAATGGTCGCCTGATTTCCTTACAACCTCCTCTGTGGGGACGTTCGCAGGCTTGGTAGGGACAACCCCTGTCCCTCTATCTAGCTACTTAACAAATTCACTCAGAAGCAACTGTTTTGGGTTTTTTAAGTTGTCACTATTTATCCAGTGGTCTGGCCTAGTACATGTCACACTTCAGAGTGAGCTTGATTCCCTAGGAATCTTGTTATGTCTAGGTGGGGCCGGTGATCGTGAATTTCTAATAAGCTCCTGCATGATGCTGATGCTGCTCATTCATGAACATCACTGTAAGAGACAAGGGTATAGGATATATTTATTTTAAAGCTGTGGCGCATGTGGCAGTGTATTAGGGAGTAACAGAGAAACGGCAAGAATCCAGGGTTTCCCCCTACCAGGTTGGCTGGATGAAGGTAACAGTCGAGGGTAAGGGACAAGGATGGTGATGGCATGTCTTGGGCACACTGCTTCTCTACCTCCTGTCCTAGCAACTTCACCTCCAATCACAACTAGTCAAACTGTGGAGCCCAGCCCCACCATCAAACCTTAGGAACCGCGTATATGATTAAGGAGACTAGAAAAGACAGGGGCTCCTCATCCCAATGTCAGACTCAAGAGGAAGAGAACTAGTTTATTTCACAGAGAGTATATATAGTGGTGAGACAAGCAAGCCTTCAGTAGGTACATATTCAACAGATAGGGCAAAGTGTGAAGCTGAGATATCCTGAGTTCTTTTAGAAAAACACCTTGAAGAACGTGTCTGGCGGGCGCATGAACAATGGTGTCCATTGCGCTTTAAGAATACTGAACATTAGCATTGGATGCTTTCAGAGTTAAGCATCCTCTAACGGTGGGTGCACCAGACATCCAGCGTTTGTAGGAGGCATCTTATCATTTCGTAGAGGCTAAATGTGAAGAACCTGCTTCCTGGAGAAGAATGTATCTGAACTTAGCTGTAGTTCCGGGCAACCAAGGAACAGAGGCTCCGAGCATGACCGGAACAAATGGAGCTTGAAGGTTTTAAAGACTGGCATCTTTCAGCCAAGTAGTGAGGAGCCGCGTGCCTGTAAAAGACAGCTTTACCTTACCATCTTAAAGGAGAGCAGTTGTGGAGAGAGCTCTTTTTATCTGAAGAATGCATATTAGGTTTTATTTCTGTCTTGGGACTGCGGATCTTCTTTACCGAGAACTGGTCTTCCAAGCCCGATGGCCATCAGTGTAGAGATTAGGCCACTTACACGTTCATCCAGCCTCTCAGTTTCTCCCATCAAACTAAACCGATGACTAGCCAATTGTGAGAAAGGAGAGTGAGAGGAGGGGTACATATTATCCTAAAGCCTTACCAGAGTTTGTCTGGGTCTGCACTGCAGATGCATAATCGACAATAGCTCATGTCAGGGACCCTCACTGTAACACATGCGGGTTCCTTGCTCTCTCTGCTGGGAGATATTAGTTTCTCAGTTTACAAGTTTCGTGTTTCACGGTTTACATGGCATCCACTGTGGCCCTTGAAGGAAACCTACTCTCTCATCATTGAAAGAAGGGTGGTGGGGGTGGTGTTTCCGCTGGGCCGCCTGGCTGCACTGGTGGCTCATCGAAGTGTGGTGGCCACCAACTGTGAGCCCACGACTCGCTGTTCCCCCAAGCCTCCCCCCCAACCCTGCCACCGCCATGAACATCCGCAATGCGAGGCCCAAGGACCTGATGAACATGCAGCCCTGCAACCTGCTGTGCCTCCCGGAGATCGACCAGATAAAGTACTACTTCTACCCCGGCCTCTCTTGGCCCCAGCTCTCTTACATCGCAGAGGACGAGAATGGGAAGATTGTTGGCTATGTGTTGGCCCAAATGGAGGAGGACCCAGATGACGTGCCCCATGGACACATTAATACTGGCTGTGAAGCGCTCGCACTGTCACCTTGGCCTGGCGCAGAAGCTGATGAACCAGGTCTCTCTAGCTATGATTGAGAACTTCAACGCTGAACATGTCTCTCTGCACGTCAGGAAGAGTAACCGGGCCACCCCGCACCTCTACTCCAACACTCTCAACTTCCAGATCAGTGCAGTGGAGCCCAAGTACTACGCAGATGGGGAAGATGCGTACGCCATGAAGCGGGACCTCACTCAGATGGTGGATGAGCTGAGGCGGCAGCTGGAGCTGAAGGAGAAGGGCAGGCCTGTGGTGCTGGGGCCCTTGAGAACAAGAACAACCCACTGTTGAGCAGGCGAGGCCTCCCGGCAGGATAGTAGTGGGGACAGCAAGGACCTCAGTGGGGTCAGCGAGACCACAGAGAGCACTAATGTGAGGACAGCTCAGAGGCCTCGGCCTCCTAGAGCCTGACCGAGCCCTGAGCCCCACCAGGCTGCAGCCCCACCTCGCCCTCCCCACTAGATTGCCCAATGAAAGTCACCCCTGTCCCTAGGGGGGAACCAAAATGAAAGAAGCGGGGGGAGGGGGGGCGTGGGGAGTCGCTCAGGCTTCTTAGAAGAGAGGTACTGACCTAGCATTGTGAGTCTCTAATTTGAAAGGTAGGAAGATCAGACACTTGTCAGTTTTCTGATCTTTGCAGGGGGTGAAAGTTGGGATGACTAATGGTTTAGGGATTCTTTGAGAAAGAGGGAAGGACTCGCTTTTCTAGCCTGTTCTAATTTCATTTTCAATATTTTGTTATGTTGTCACTTTTGCTGTGGTTTTATTTTGTGATTTTATTTCACTTTAAGTACTTAAATATTGGGATATGATACATTTTATGCTCTTATTTTGTTTTTCAAAAATTTGTCTTATTTGAAATTTGACTTTAGCTTGGGCTTCATTTTATTTTGCATCTTAAAGTTTTTAGGTGAAGGAATAATAGGTTGTTTGGTGGTCTATTTTATGCTTATTTTATTGTAAGTTTGATAATATTTGGGGGTTCATTTGTTCTGGATTTGATATCTTCCTTGTTTTATTTTTAGGTGAAACAAACCAGTATCCACCCCCAGAGCTCAGTGTTGAATGTGGGGGCCCAAGCCGTGGGGATACTCTGCTGCACCTCGTCCAGCCTATTAAGAGGTAGGCTCCCGACGGAGCTGAACTCGAGTCCCAGGCAGGAAACCAGCCTCCTCTCTGTAGAGTAGAGCACCTGTAGCATCCCTGAAACAGGACCCTCTTCCAAACCTATCATTTACATAACTTTATTACCATGTCAGTTCAAAAGTACAAGTCAGGCTTGTCAAGCTTTGACTTAACACACTATGGTGCGGCATGAAAATTACGATGGCATCTGCTTTGCTGTCAATGACGAAAATAAGTCAATGGTGTGCTCCAAGGCACCCCTCCCTCCCCCAACTTCTTCTCTTTCTGCACTCAGCACACAAGAGCCCCACGGAAGGCCCTGACCCATAGAGACCCTCAAACATGAAATCGTTCCTTTTCACCTGTTGTGAGAGGTCACTCAGCAGGTGAAAACCGAGATGGGTAAGAGAAACTGTTCCCTGGTGTCCCCTGCAGGAGGCACCTGGAACACGTGCGTGCGAGGCCTGCCATTACCTTAGGGCTTGGCAGGAGGCTGTCTCCTGTAAGGTCTTTCAGAAACAAGAGACAGAGCGAGACCTTTAATTCATAGATTTATTGAGGGAGGTGAAGTTTGTAGGCAACAGGAAATCAAAGGACATGAAGTGAAAGGAGCTTAGGTTAGCCAGATCAAGAAAGATTAGCGCTTTCTCTTGGTCTAAAGCCAGAGAATTAGCTACCTTAACAGGTATAAAGTCCACCAGAGATGCTCTTACATAGAGAGAACACCAGGGCTAATAATGTCCACTAACGAACCGCAACAGTGTCTTGTGAGGAAGAGTTAAACAGCTCTAGTGCCCACAGCCTCCACTTCTGTGGCAGGAACAGCAGAGAAAGGCATGGCAGAGAGGCAGAGCGGGAGAGAGCCAGCGTTTCAGGTAGCGAGCAGGGCTGAGAGGCAAGAGAGCAAACGCAGAATAGCAAGAAAGAGACCAAAGGCTGATTTTTCAGGTACTTACGTCTTTGGGATTTCTGGAGGGTTCCCGGGCATCTTTCTGGTTGGGGCTGATAACGCCAATGGCTGGCACCAGCTTCAGTGAGCTGCCATCACTTAATTGCGGGGCGATGGGCGGAGGAAGCTTTGTAAACAGAAGAACTATCTGTTGTCCTTAGTAACACTGCCACTGGACCCTAGATCTCCCTAAAGAAAGCTCACAAACAATGCCAGTCTTTGACTCCACCCAAACCATTGGAGCTGAGAGGCTCAGTGGTCTGACAATTTGAGGGCAGTTTTATCTTTTCCTTCTTCTTTAGTTAAAAAGAAATACATCTTGATTATTTAAAACTTCCTTAGAACACCTCAGAGTATAAAAGCAAAAAAACAAAACAAAAGCTAAAACAAAGAAGTCCATTTCATAACACGAATCCAGCATCTCGTCTCATATTCTCGAAGTAGCCGCTGGATAGAATCTCATGTCCTCCAAAGCTCTCGCATCTGTATATGACACATGATGTGGCTTCAAAGCGTCTTCAGAATATTTCATTCCATTTTCCCATGACCTTTTCTAGCCCCCTCATAAAAGCAAGTTCACTGCCATTGAGTTGATTCTGATTCACAGTGACCCTCTGGACAGGGCAGCACTGCCCTGTGAGTTTTCCGGTGTGTGACTCTTTACAGGAGTAGAAAGCCTCGTTTTTTTCTGTAGCAGCACCTGGTGTGTTCTAACCACTGACCTTGCAGTGAACAGCCCAATTCATAACCACGACACCACCAGGCCTTCTGTAAGCCCCTTCATAGAAGTATGTATTTGTGCAAACACAAACATATAAGCACACACACACACACACACACACACACAAATACACGGTCTTCTTTTTAAAATCAAAAGTTGGCCGTGCTAACGATATAGTTGCCATTTTGGTCCAAAAGCCTCTATCTACCTAGGAAAATAGCTGCTGCCATGATAAAGCTCTGGGCCCTTTGGCCCAGTAACATCGCATGGGCATTGAACCTCCTGGGCCTGGTGTTGAGGTTTTGCAGTCTGACGTGATTGCTTCCGTGCAGGTTGTCCAACCCTCAGTCTGACGTGCCCACCTTGGCTGATGATTTGGAAGCCCTTGAAACAGCTGAGGCTTTTGTAAGCAGAGCCATGCCAGCCACATCAATGACTCCACAAGAAGCACTTGACAATTATTACGAAAAGAGCAAAGACGATTCTGGACAAGGAACACCAGCAGAGCCAGGAGAAACAAGAAAAGAGCCAGGAGAAACAAGAAAAGAACTAAATTTAGGCACCACTGATGGTAAAATCTACAGATATTACCGTAGTTGCTTGTTAATTTGAATTTACCCTTTTCATCTTTATCTCCCCCCCAATCTTTTTTTTCTTTATAAAGCCTGTGTCTTGATCTAAGAGTTAACATGCAAATTGTGGCTTTTTATTTGCTTTCCAAATGCATAAATTAAAGTCTGAACCTAACTGGATTTTTAAAACATCCAAAGACTAGCTTTTACTTGGCTGTCAAACTGGACCTGGTAGGAAGCTATTTCAGGGAGTATCTGGAGGCAAGTCCTATGTAATCTCTGTAGTTCAAGGTGGAGAAGCAGTCCTCTTGTAGACCGGGAGGGAAACGCATTCTTGTAAAAGGCTCCTTCATCTATGAGTGGCCACATGGGTTCTGACCAAGTTTACGCACCATTTTGGATTCATCACAATGGTAGCAGTGATTTCCAATTGGAGCATTAGTAACTTACATGTGCTGCTATATGTTATCAATGGCCTCATCTATGTTATCAATAAATTAAGCAAAACAGTGCAAGTGTTCCAAAGAATTATAAGAGTTTAACTTTGAAGTACGTTAAAGGAAGAGGAGAGAAAACTGGAAGAGTTTCTAGTGAGTGGGGTGGTCAGTCCTGCTTAGATTCAGTGGGAAATAATTGCCCAGAGATTTTAAATGTGCTAAAAATGAGAGAAATTGTGTGACGTTTCTTTATCAGCCGCTAGCCAGTTATTTGAAAAAGTTATGACCACGAGGTGTTGAAGGGATCAGGTAGCAGACACAAAGAACAAAAACCATCATTGTGTGCAAGCCTTCCCCTTATAAATGCTGAAGACAAATATGTGCATAAGTAAGTGTGGTGAAGAAGGATGATGGTGCCCAGCTCTCAAGAGATATAGCATCTGGGTTCTTAAAGGCTTGAAGGTAAACAAGCAGCCCTCTAACCCAGAAGCAACAAAGCCCACATGGAAGAAGCACACCATCCTGATCATGAGGGGTCGAAGGTATCAGATATCAAGCACCGAAGAACAAAAAATCATATCATTGTGAATGAGGGGGAGTGTGGGATGGGGACCCAATACCCATCTGTAGACAACTGGACATCCCTTGTAGAGGGGTAGTGGGGAGATGAGTCACTCAGGGTGCAGTGTAGCATCAATGAAACACACGACTTTCCTCTAGTTCTTAAACGCTCCCCCTCCCCATCATGATCCCAATTCTACCTTACAAACCTGGTTAGACCAGAGGATGTACAGTGGTGCAGATAGCAACTGGAAACACAGGGAATCCAGGGCAGATGATCCCTTCAGGACCAGTGGTGAGAGTGGCGATACCAGGAGGGTAGGGGTGGATACAAAGGGGAATCGATCACAAGGATCTACATATAACCTTCTCCCTGGGGAATGGACAACAGAAAAGTGGGTGAAGGGAGACGTCGGGCAGTGTAAGATATGATAAAATAATAATTTATACATTATCATGGGTTCATGAGGGAGGGGGAAGCGGGTAGGGAGGGGAAAAGAGAAAAATGAGGAGCCGATTCCAAGAGCCCAAGTGGAAAGCAAATATTTTGAGAAGGATGAGGGCAACGAATGTATAAGTGTGCTTTACACAATTGACGTATGTGTGGATTGTGCTAAGAGTTGTATGAGCCCCAATAAAATGATTTGAGAAAAAGAAAGAAAAAGTTATTTTGTCTCTCTGTGGCTCAGTCTTCTGTAAAATGAGAACAATTTGAATACCTGCCTCAGAGGGGGTTCATGTGTTCCCCCCATAGGCACCGGAGGCAAACGAGCGAGTGAGCAGCTGATGCGACAGGCTCCCTCTTGATTCCAAAGCAAACATGTCCACTGGAAAGGAACCAAACCCGCAGAGGTGTGATTATGTACGCTCTGCCATAGCAGTCATGTTCTACCTCCTTAGGCTAAACCTTAAGCACAGAATTTACCATATTGATTATTATGTTTTTTTCTAGGCTATCCTTGGGTAATCTCAGTAAGGCAGTGGTTTTCAATTTGAGCTATACAGTAGAATCACTGGAAAACCTTTTAAAATTCCCAATGCCCAGGCTGAACCTCTGACCAATTCAGTCAGCATCTCTGGGTGTGAGACTCACCTAAGATTTTCCTGAGCAGGTGAGAACCACTGGTAGGCACATAAACTATCCTGCTCCACAAAACCGAAGAGAAAAGTAGGGGTTGCTGCTATTGAATTCAGTCTCCTTCATAGACAAGCAATTGAAGGCTAAGAACGCAAGGAACGAGCCCCCCATCACCCCCAGTTCTTGCCACCATACTTCTTTTTTTATTTTCTCTTTTAAATCATTTTATTGGGGGCTCGTACAACTCTTATCACGATCCATCCATCCATCCATCCATTGTGTCAAGCACATTTGTACACTTGTTGCCATCATCATTCGCAAAACATTTTCTTTCTACTTCTAAACGTGGCTCTGTCCAGCTCCCCCTGAAGCCGTTGGTCCGCACCTTTGTCCACAAACACCCTGTTGTTTAGTAGGTACCCTTGGTTTGTGTTTGCTTGGTTTTCAAAATAAGTAGAAGCGACCAAGTGCTGTCCTCCTGAAACTTCCTGCT